CCTCTAAGTATTGTTTGCCTGTGTCAGCCAGAGCCAGCCTGTGTTTCATTCAGCACAGCTGTAAGAGATCTGGGACTGCTCAGGCAGTGAGGTGTTTTTCACACTTACAGTGTCTGATGCACACATAGCTCTAGAAACACAAAAGCAATGGTATTTCTTTCAGAATAAACACACACAGTCACTGGGGTTTTGCAAGTTGTCTCCAGTCCTCATCAGTGAATGCATGAGAATATCAAATCTGGTTTCTAAACCATGAAATATTTTGCAGTGAAGGCTCTAGATCTGTCTCCTGAATTTAACTAGGTAGATAAGTGAAGGCCTCTGCAAGAATTGGAGCTGGAGGCAACAAACAGAGTGCAGTAAATTACATTTTAGGAAAAAAGGCCTATTGGAGAAGTGGGATTTCTGGTTCTATCTTCCATTTCCAGTGCTTCATTTAAGATTTGCTTGAAGGCTAAACAAGTAAAAGTTTTTGTTGTGAACTATAGTTGATGGAAGACTTTTTTGGACACTAAAGAAGGGGTCATCTTAGCGGAGTGGACAGAATCCTTAGAAAAATCACAATTCTATTCTCATACCTTCCACAGAAAACAAAATAATGACCTTGTTACATAATTCGGGAAATGAAGCTGGTATGCTTCAGTAGCCACAAATGTTTAATGCAATCTAAAAGTAGGCCTTGTAAAAATGTATGTCTTAGGTTGTGGTTTACTTCACTGATCTCCTTAGCAGTGAAGGGGATCCATTTATGAATTGTAGCATCTTTTAAGATTGTGGCACACAACTGTTCCTGAAGACTACAGAAGCAGGAAAAGAGAGTTGCACTATGGTGTATTTAGCTGATATACTCTGCCAGTTTACAGCTTGCTGCAATATAGAAAAGCCAGAAAATAGTATTTGAACATTTGATTTGAAGCTTTAACTTTTGATTATTAGTAAAAAGCAAAACTACATATGGGCAGACAGGGTGATACACTCTTTAGCATGGGCTGCTCTCTTCCAGTGAAGTAGAGAAGGAGGGTGCAGCTGAAACAGTTGCCTTTTGGTTTATCCTGCAAAAAACCTACCCCAACTGTTTCTGGGTGTTTGTTCTGCCTGTAGCATTAATTACTGTACTGAATGTAATCTTTGATTCTAGCTGTAATGAACCTGTGTTAACAAGTCAGTTATTTTTCTTTGTTAATCTTGCATTTGTTTTTTCCAAATTATTAATGAATATCTTTTATTTTTGGAGAGCTAACGTTACTGAAAACCTCATGAAAACCCAGATTATTTATCTCCTTATTGCAACTGTGGAGGAAGCTATAACTCAACATATGATGAGGTCAAATGCTGAACGAAGCAACACTGTTAGGCATAAGAGGCTTATTTGCAGTCTACAGGAATTCTGTAAAGCTTTAAGACAGCCTTCTGAAGCAAATAGGTGTCATGGTAACATGAGAAGGTCCCTGAGTGAAGTGTTCGTGGGAAGCAGGGGCCTCCCAACCTGTTACTTGCTCTCAGTTGATCTTCCTCTGAAGACTTTTTGCATGGAGCAGAAAGATGAGCTGGTATTTGAATTGGCATCTATTTATGTATTTCTTTTCCTCCTCCAAACTTCAGAATAATTATAATGTAATTTTTCCCCTCTCTACTTGGAAAGGTCACAAATCCAGTACTGCTGGCTAACCCTGGGAACAGAAAAACGAGCTTTAAAAAATTCTTTGGAGCCTAGTAAATGTGTAAGTGCAGAATGGATCAAAGTCTGCAAGGCCTGTTTCATATCAGTGAATTCAGTTCTATTTTTTGTTGTTTCTATTAGAATATTCTTATTATCAACTACAGCACTTAATGAGAATGAAAAAGCACCTGAGAGCAAAACGCTCATTTGGAAGCAAACAAGAAATGTGGGCAAAGAGAGTTTGCCTTTCCTCATCTTCAGTTACAACAGAAAAGCTGCAGTGCCTTCATCTCCCCCAACACACCATTTCAAGTTTACGCCAATATTTTCATGCTTTTGTAAAGAATTGCTTCTGTGTAAATCCTCACTTAAATGATTTCTGGAGTTTGATGACTTCAGGCAGATAAGAACCTCATTGCCCTGCAACAGAATGAATTTGCCACTAGCAGGCTACTTGAAGCTGTTCTTGCTGAGTAAAAAACTTGCTAAATGTTTGTAAAGCAAGAATAAACTTGCTTATGGGCTTGTGTGTCTGAGTATTTATGGAAGCACTGCAAGGAAATTAGACCCTTGACTAATGACCAAACAGGTGAATGCAGTGTTTAATTTTGTGCTGGGTGGCCTGCTCCAAGATTTTTGTTTCTAGTGTTACTTGAAACTCTTGGCAATAGCATCAGGTTCCACTCCAGATGTTCTTGTAGGCAAGAAAATACTAACAAATGTAGAACCATAGAATCATAGAATAGGTAGGGTTGGAAAGGACCTTAAGATCATCAAGTTCCAACCCCCAAATATCCATATGTAGTCATAGGGATCATATGGAGTCATATGCATATATCATATGTAGTCATATGGATCCCAGCAGTGTGTATCATTTGGAAAAACCCACCTGGAGATGTATATTGGGAGGCTTGGTTTTGTTGCTGTCTGAAGCAGGTAGCAGGGCACTAGTGTTTTATCATTTATCGTTTCAAGTAAGCACAATTTGCTTTACCTTTTCCGTGTTAATGCTGTGGGGCAGGAAGAGGAAAAATTATTCTTACATTGAAAAAAATTGTGCCTAAAGAAAGACCAATCAGCCAGGATTTCTGTGAAAGCTCTGGGCCATTCATTGTACTGTACACTAATATTTAAGGGAGAATCAATCCTTCCCTTTCTTTTCTCCATCCCCAAAGGAAGGGTCTTATTCAGTATAAACTTGGAGTTTCATTATTACTGAAACAGACTGAAGCTAGAGCAAATAAAAGAACTTCTATGTAATGTAGTTGTATTAGCACTTTTGGAAATACCTTGGTCACAGACTTATCTTTGTGACAGTGTTCAATCACTAGTTTTTCTGGTGGAGATTAATTGCTTGGTGGAGATTAATACAGTCAGATTGGGCGAAAAAAATACTATCCATAGTGCTAAACAAATACAGATCTGAAATGCTAAAGATTGAAGTTTTCTCTTTACACAATCATTTTTGTAGGTCAGCAGTTCCACTAAATTATGTGAATTTAGCATATCTGATAAAACTAGACAAATGATATTGAAGTTCTGGTATCTTATACAAACAGGCCTTATAGCTCTTTATGTGGGGAGGGGTTTTATTATCTAGATGTGATAGCTGCCCAGTTAGATACAAAGATCAGCTCTCAGCTGCCTTAGCACAACTGGAGGTGCAGAACACTTACCATTTCACAGAGGTGTCAACACCCCTTCTCCCAGGCATGTACTTATTTTAATAAAAGAACAAGTCAGAAGGGCTAAACTAGCAACAACCATGAACTTGTTCTGCTCTCTGTTCCACTTAGTGATTTAAATCTTTAGCCTTCAAGTGGGGAAAACAAGTGTTTCTGTGTACTTGTTCTCCAACACAGCTGCCAACTTCCTATTAATCTTTAAAGATAACTACACATGTCTAGACTAGTTTTCTGAAGAGGTCATAATGGCTGCAATGTCCACAGTGTGCCCTATAACAGCGTGAAACTGTAGAAAGGTGAATTTCTATGCCACTTCTATGACTGTGTGTTACAATCAGACATAGCAAATGGTAGGAATGCGGAAAGTGCTCAGACCTAGATTTCTTGCACAGTAATTGACTTGAGATGGGGGTCATGATCAAGAGATGACTATAATGTGAGTTTAAAAATCTTGTAAAAGCCAGAAATCAATGAGTTTACTACCTTAGAGAAGGCTGTATTTCAACTACATAAATCCTCAAAGATCTAATAACGCTGCTTTGATTTCTAGAAGGCCAAACCTTTCAAACCAGCAGTGTTGTGAAAATGCTCAGAATCATAAAGCATTAAAAGAAATATCACTGAATTTGCTTGCATTATATCTCCCTTACAGGTAATAACTGGATAAAATGTTATTTATAAATATTTCAGTATTAATTGTTTAAAGTATTTTAGTAGGTGGTGCTGTAGTTTATTTAGTGTATTTTATGTAAATGTGTATATTTAGCTTACTCTGAGTAAAGTCACTACAGGATGCAAATGTAGTTTACAGAATTTTAAAAAATATATGGTTGCAGATATTAGAGGTTTAAAATTTGGAGGAGATGGTAAAGCTATACTGAAGACAGCATATTTAATAATGCAAAAGTAGTACACTGCTGAGCATGTTTTAGTTGAAGTGTGTTTCACCTCACTTGCAATGTAAACAGGTGACTACAACGAAATCTAAAATGCAACAGAAGTGTTTCTCAGCTGGTAAGTATACACAAGTCTTCTTTTTTTCTTTTTTTTCTGGAAGTGTACATTCTGATTTCTGTTTTTCATGTAATAAGGTAGCTTTGTGTCAACTTAGAGTTCCTGGCATATGTCCATTAGTTTTCTGACTCTTGAATGTATTTCACAGAAGGGTTATATACATCTCTGAGTCAACTAGGCTATTTCTTGTTCTGAAATGTTTAAACACTTCTGAATAAACATATACAAGCTGAAGGTCAGCTAACTTTAAAAGGGAAATAAGGGATTGCCTTATACAGTGCACTTGGAGATGTAAGTATTAACAATTTAACAAATTATTTTGATATTAATGAACTTAAATTATATATTACATATTCTGTTCTTCTATAATACACATAAAAGCTCTATATTTTCTTCTTCATCCCTTCCCACCCGATGTGTTCTTAATAAAATTAGCATTAATTTAGCTATCCCCTTATTTTTGCAAGAAGGCCAGCAAGCAATTGAATTTGAGTTGAATGTTCACATCTTTCTCAGTTTGACTACCTGAAATAAGTTCTGGCTTTTTCTAAACCTTGCGTGGTTCTGTAAGCATTTATCTCTCTTCAGTCCACTCTTACCTTCTCAGTGTCCTCTAGTCTTTCAGATAAAATCAAGCTGCTTTGTTTGGGTGTCCATTTTCCATTGTCAGGCAGCAAAAGTGTGTGATAGAGAAGATGTTCAACCTGCCAGACAGACCAAGGAGGGCAGTGTCCCAGCAGCTGTGCAAGGCTCAGGTGAGCAAAGCACGGCAGTCCTCACAGGTATTTGTTTTATGGCAGTGCCTATATCACCTCCCACTTGGTGTTCTTAAAGGGGCACAATCCTTTCTAAGGAAATGATGAAGCTGTTCAGCCTTGACCGCAGTTTGCTTAGAATCAGCAAAACAATAGCTGGCTGTTCACACATGCAAAAGCTGCTTTAGGAGACAGCCACTTGCAGCAAAAAATGATAGCCCCTTTTTAGCCAGGAAACCACTTGGGCTTTCCTTGTAAATAATCTTGTTTACTCAGAAGTGAATAATCTGATAATAGAATCTGAGTTACTTAATGAGTAGCACATGAAGCTTTCAGCGCATGAAGGCTGCTGCCCCTACGTTTGTTGCACATCCAACTCTCCAAGTTGTTCATATGCCCAACTCTCTTCCAACTATATTTTCAACACCAAACTTGCTACTTACAAGCTTAACTTTATTTACATACTTGAAAAATCACAGCTACAGTCAGGCTACTCCAGTCTCTGTTGTATGGAGTAGAAAAACATGTAGGAATCTTTTCAGAGGCTTTGCTAAACCAGCTCTGGCTCTGGTGCATGCAGTTGTGGAGATGGCATTACAGAGTCCCTGAGAACTGGCCCTCTAATCTGTGCACAGTACTGCACCTAGCGCTTGTCTGATGACAAGGGAAGATGTGAAGGCCAAACTGCAGCCTGAGTTAAAAACCTTTTGATGGAGATATTTAAGTCTGTGCAACTATCTGTCTTGGCATAGATATGTCAAAGGAGTGTATATTTGCACCTACGGAAACCGAAGTTCAGATTTCAAGCAAGGCCCTCAAATTCACCTAACTGGCAATAGGTTTTTTCAAACTTTTGCAAAACACAGAAAATATGAACTACAGTATTGTTACAGAAAATAACTGTTAAGAAAAATTTTTCCCAAGATTTTTGTTGTTTTCCAGTGTACAAGGCAGAATCAGTAACTTGTTTCCCCCAAAATTTGACATGCAACTTCCATCTGTCTTGATATTTGGCACTAATATTTCAATGATGTTGCCAAAATCAGCTTCCTTTAAATATTTTTTTCCAAGAAATCTGCTTATCCTGTTTTTTAGTAGCTCTTAAGATTAGTAACATTTTAATCTTATTTAATCCTAGTGGTGGTGTTATTACTCCTAGCTTTGGAAGCAGGGACCTCCATTGGCTAAAAATTGAACATCACCACAGTTTGGCTGGTCAGCAAGCTGGGTCATCTGGTACGTGTATGGGTAAATATGTGGTAAGTGGTGTCATTCTTATGAGTCACAACTAGTATTTAATGTTAGGATAAGGTAGGTTAGGCTTATAAAATAAGTTCATAAATGTTTCATAAAGTAATTTTAAAGTAAACAGTTCCCAGCCAAGGGAAGCCTTTCTTTCTACAAACCAGAAGGTGCCGTGCTGCCCTCTCATTCAGATTTAGGAAAAAAAATAGGTGCCTAAATGATGAACCCATCTCCTTTTCAGGTTAAAACTACTGGTTTTAGACCTGCCTGCTGCCAGCAGGATTGCTGGAGGGAGCAAATTCAGGTAGGGTGAGAAATACTTGCTTTGTTGGAAGCTTTAAGTTCTTACCTAGTACTACAAGTAGCTAGAGTGTATGCATGGGGCTAGCATCTACAGCTATACAATGATGCATTGTCCTTTACCTTCTTCCATGGGAGTCCACAGGATCAGATGCCCAAACGTGGGGTGAGGGTGGAACACTTTTGCTGTGGGACTTTTCTTAGACTGGAACTGAAAGCAGCCAATTTCTTTCACACACCTGTGATCAGATCTGATTTTAAGACAATTGTTACCCCCTGGTGATATGCAGGATAAAATAAAAAACTTCCCATATCTTTAAATGTTTGGGGGGTCCAACTTTATTCTCAGGTTGATTTTAATCATTGTAAACTTCCTAAACTTTACTGGAATAAGGTGAGTGGAAAACTACTATATGAGGTGTTGCCTGGGTTTAATCCTGTTTCCTTGTGCTCGTGGCAGAGCTAGTTCCATGGTAGGAGTCATGCAAAGCTGAAGGCTATGAGTGGATGAGCTGTAAGATATTTGAGAGTAAGAATAGAGTTTGAAAGTGAAATAGTACCTATAGACTCCCAAGCCTTCATTTCTACATACCTGTTTCAACTGCGTTAATGTAGCAACATAACAGTCTACCAGGACCTTACATGTTATAGGATCTAGCCGTTTATATTTTGGCCATGTTTCCCAGAAATAGGGCATTATTACTGGCTCCTTACATGCCAGAAAGATGCACTGGATAAACCAAGGACTTTGCTCACAAAAGTTTCCTCTGTGCATATGTTTGGATAAGTTTACAGCTCCTGGAACAGGGAAACTTGGTCCTATCTAGTATGCATTATTGTGATGAAGGATTTAAATATTGCTGGAGTGAATAATTAAGTAACCTATGGAGGTAGACCACCTGCAGACACCAAATTGTTCAAGCAGAAAGGTGTCTTGGTTTGACATTAGCCTTGTTGCATTCATCATCCTAGGTAAATAGCTGTAAGATAAATAGTTTATTTCGCGGAGAATAACAGCAAGAATGATTCACAGGCCATGAAATCAAGCAGAGGGCTGAATGGAGGCCAGGAGGATCCATGTCTTGTCACAGAGCAGGTGGTGAGAATGTATACTCAAAATATTTTGAGTAATTGAATTTAAGCCAGTTCAGGAATGTTGTTTATGGCCAGTTGCTGCTCTGGAATAACAGGGATGTGCATGGCTGTGAGTCTGCAAGCAGCCCCTTTGCTGGCCCCTGCATTCACAGCAGCTGTGAGCTCACCTTCTCTCCCCAGTTATATGTTGACTGTTCTGTCTGACTGTCACACAGAGGGTAAGATGAGCTGGTCTGGCTTCCTTGCTCAGCTTTCCAAGACCAAGCTGGGACTAACAAAGTGTATGTGAGTATGGCTGATAGCCAGGCATCTGGCCTTATGTATATGGAGACATGCCCAGATGCTCAGCCAGCTTTTGTGCCATGTCATAGAGCTTATGAAGGAAGAAAAAAATATTACAGACATCTCTGGATATGTCTGTTACACTGCACAGCTGTGAACCTAACTGTGGGAATAGTCAATTTTGTAAGTGACTGGACTCCAGTGACAAAGTTGTTCAGAAAGCTTTCTCTTGATCCTTTAGCATGACCTGAACAGTGAAGGCTCTGAACAGCTTCCTAATGAGTGCAGAGTATAGGCTGTTTGAGAAATGTAGGCATCCACCAAGCCCAATAGAAATTCCTATAGGGCTGTGCCAAGCATCTCAGTGGTGCCCAGAAATTAGCTATATCTGAATCTCTACTATCTAGCTTAAAATTGGCCTAATCATGATTCTGCTTATCTCCCTAAACCACATGGACATTTAACTTCTGTCAGCTTCTGTGTAATTTCTTCCACACACAACCTACATGGCACGGACCTTGGCCAGCTTTTGCTGCTACCACTTTGACTCAGGAAAGAGATTACCTGTTGCTGGAGGGGCTCAGGTCATGTAGCTTCTAGCCACCACTTTTCAGTATATGAAGGTTAAAGACCTGCTGATTCTAAATGGGAAATGTAAGGTGGTTGAGTCCCCCTTGTGCTCATTCATAGCTCTGTGTCACCCTAGCAGCACTGTTGTGTTTTTTTTTACTTTCAGAGGGTCTCTTCTGTGTGAAGGTGCCCGAAGAAATGCAGGGCTGAGCAACAGCAGTGGTAGTGGAGTGTACAAGCAGGTTTGAGTGAAGCTTACAGAAAGGGATCAAAATACAACTTTGAGGCTTGTGGGTAGAGGGGTGCTGGAAGATCATGTGTCTGGAAGTTGCTTCAGGTATGTGCCCATGTAATCTATTCTGCTTTTGTAACAAGTAAGAAGGCTAACAGAGTAGTAGGAACTCATAGGTAGTCATATCGAGAAACTCAGTGGGCAATGAAAAACAAACAGAAGAGACAAAATAGCCACTGCTTTTGTTAAGTAATTTCCCCTTTATGGCTGGCATTTGTTTAAAAGGCAAATCAGGCTGGGAAAGTGACTTATTTTTCATGCTGCATTATCTGAGTTCACTAGCTACAAATGAAGAGACAAGGGATACATAAGTGTATTCTAGGGAGTCTATCAGAGTGCGACGGGGGAAGCACTAAAACTGACAAACAATAAGGCGATTCTGGTTGCACTTCTTGTCATTCCAAGTGCCGTCAGTGTACATCTCCACACATTCCTCTTCCCCTTTGCCAGAAGGTTCTTTTAAATGCCAGTTAGTATAGTTCAGCTTTGTACCATCTAGGAACTGGAATGTGTTTGGAATAAGAGATTCCTTTATTCCCAGGTAGGCGTAGGTATTAAAACTTTTCACAAAGTACAGAATAGCATCATTCTCAGCCGGGCTTCTTGGAGCAGCAATAGACCCTCCAGCCTCTTTGCATGTTTTCAGTGTAGTTTCAAAATTGGCTTTTTTCCCATTGGTAGAAAATATTTTTCCTCCAGCTGCTGTTATCAGCTTTTCCAAGCGGAGAACTGCAAGATGAGGTGAAAGCTGTTACTCTTTTATGCCTTTTCTTTTATTTTTTTGTGGTCACATAGAAGGAATTACCATTTGCAGCAGTTTTCCTCCTGTCGTGGTTTAAACAGCCAAAACCAGGACACCTCTATAACTTCAGATTAAACTCAGGAAAAAGTAGAGGAGAGGAAAACTTAAGGATAAAAGAAAGAAAAGAACCCTGAAATGCTGGAAGAAATCATAAGAGAGGAGGGGAAAGGGGGGTGTGGGAAGGGAAGAAACACATAAATAGACAATAAAATAGGAGAAGCACAAAAGAGTTTGAAGAAGGATGGAAGGGAATGAGGAATTCCACATTTGGAAAAGTATAATGTTTTCTTTGAGACTCTACAAGCTCTCTGATACAGTTTGCAGTATACAAGGGTGTATGTCAGTCCTTGAGTTAGTAGGGCCTTAGGATGTGATCTGGTTGTGACTGCTTTGTTATGTTTTTAGTGTTCAATT